GTGTGTGTATGTGTGCGTGCGCGCGCGCGCATGCGGGCAATGTCACCTTGACTACAAGCTACAGGAGGCGATGAGGGTGCATTGCATCTGTGCAGTGGACAGAGGAGAGTTGAGAGTGATTGCCTGTCTGTCTGATAGTGTGTGTGCGCGTGTGCGTGACAAACAGCCAGAGAGGAAGAGCGAGGAGGCAAGGGCGCTCCCGGGAAGATCGAGCAGCGACCGGAGATTCACCTCTCTTCACAGCACTGCCGACATGTCAAAGCACTCAGGTGGGTTCACGTGACCAGTCACATGGCTTCCATCTCATGTCATCGCATCACATCATACTTCATCGCTCAAAGACAATTGTGTGCTTCCAACTCTTTGGGGAACTTCCTTTAAGTTCCACTAAAGGCATGTTTAGAAGAGTTTGGTATGGAAGAACAAGTCCAACAAACCTATCAGGATGAACAAGAAAAAAGTTTGCTATGTATCTTTATTACGCACCTAAATAAGCATAATATTAGGAACAGCTAAATGCATACCTCACTGACTGAGTCAATCAAAAGGGACCTTTATTCATAACCCCGATTAAAAAAAGAATTGTATTCTGGGGTGGTGGCAACAAAAAAAGCTTGCAATTATTTCAGCGTTATTAAAAGTGAAGGAAATGACCAATTTATGTATGTATTTGCAAGGAACATGATGTTAATGAGGGGTGGCCAATTTTATTATGCTCAAGGGCCACATCTGCCTTTTAGAACAATCATCAAATTATTTACAAATGCTAAATGAAGAACACATTGTCAGGGTGTTTATTTTATTTACAATGAATTGTTTAACCTCAATTAACAATGAATTATTATCCAATTACTTAACGCTGCAAATCAGTAAATGCATTTTAATAAACTAATTTCAGGGGAAACAGTGGCTAAATCTCCACCATAAATGTAACAAGATTCTTGTTCATGTAAATGTACACCTTATTAGCGTAAAAACAACAACAAACATCCGAAAGACGTTGCCCCTCGACTGAAGCCGGAGTTCACGGAAAGCCGCTGAAGGCAACGCAAGGGCTGTGACGTCACCGCCCTTTTCTTCCCTTCCCCGCCCCCTCCCTCCTCCTCCCGAAGCATGAGCGAGGACAAGGGATGCTCTCCGAACGCGAGAGTGACTGCAGCATCTTCAGCGAAACGACGCACAGCAGCACGTCGCTCTGTTTTGCCTCGCCTGCGCGCTCCAGACGTCACGCACGCGCCGGATCGCTCGTCTTTCACTATTGCGCATGCTCTGCAGCTTTTTCCCATCTTTTTTTTTTTTTTTTTTGCTCGGATTTGACCCGTTTCGTCGCAATGACACGCGCGTGATGGAAGACTGACGTGAACGCGCTCCACCAGCCTCTCCTGGAATCTTATTCTCTTCTCCCCTCGCCCCCTCCCTTATCCACCTTCTCCTCCGACCCACCTTCCCTCCTCCCCCGCGCGCAGCATCTCTCCTACGCGCGTGCGCGAGAGCCCCACACCACTTTTTTTTTTTGGTCTGTGCGGACGCGCGCGCGCTACTCTCCCAGGACTCGCCCGCGCGGCCACGCTGCGTCAAGAAGAGAAAGGGAGAGGGGGGGAAAAAGACGAAGAAGGTGGGGGGATTTAAGCGGACCGAGGCAACATCTGAGAGAGCGCAAACATGATGGCCGGCGGAGCAGTGCAGCAGAACGGCCTCTTCGTCACCCCGCACCACCACGGCCAGCAGCCTCACATGGAGGCCGACCCGCCGGACTCGCGCAAAAGACCACTGGAGACCCCCACCGAGGCCAGCAGCACCAAACGCACCAACACGGGAGGTAAGAGATGCGCGCGGGGGAGGCAGCGAGCGACTGACGATTGGCGGATAGGGTGGACTCTGCCCGCCTGGCCCTCGGAATGGCGACGTTTTATTATGATGCCGATTATTACCATTATTGCGGAGCTGCTTAACGGAGCGTTTTATTGGCTGCGTGACGGGAATGGGACAATGAGACACGACCAGGGGATGTGGAGGCGAGGCGATGCGGAAGCCTCGCCTACTCCGCCCGGGCTCATTTTCTCCGCGGAAGCCCCGGGCCGGAGGAACAAGTGGGACGTAAACAAGTGAAATCCGGATGCGGCTGGTGCGTGAAGGCATCATGACCTTGTGTGTGTCAGTGTGTGTGTGAGAGAGAGTGAGTGAGATAATCTCACACATCAGCCGCCATCGCCCGATTAACGAGCAAGTGCACTCACACGCCACCGAGTCCCTCTTATGATGATGATGATGATGACTATTCTGATGGTCGGCATGTCGCCATGGCAATCTCCATTCTTGTTTTGTTTTTGTGTTTACATGCTGTCATGCATCCCATCACAGCATTTCAACCATCATGCAGTCACACTATGATATACATTCAAGATAGTATTTGACACGAAGATACGGTGGAAATAGGCAAACGTTCTCAGAAAAGCTAAGAAAAGAAATCATGTCAAAGCAAACTAATGTTCAAAGCAGTCAAGTCCAATGTCTTTTCTAAGATGGCTAAGAAATTGAGAAATGTGTGACGGTGTATTGCTGTCGATATGGACAGTCCATGTACAATTTGTAAAAAAAATACTGGTAACTATTGCACACAGCTTAATGTATCCTTTTTGAATTATGCATTATGAGCCTAAAAATATGAGTGGCACATGTTGTGAATAGGAGGTAAGCAGAAGGTTCTCAATTTTTACGATGTCAGCATTATTCAGTCCAAAGTATACTGGATTTTTTTTTTTTGCAGGTTTTTTTTAATGTAGACGTGTAAAGAGATGAAGACAAACAGGAGTGACCCAAAATTAGACCACACTGACCAGTGATTTAAATAACAAAACAACCCAAAAACTGGCAGAACATTTAAATCGTTTCAAATCCGCTAAATCTGCACCACATCAAAACATTTGCAGAGTAGGTCTGCGTGACCTACTTGCCGAAAATCTCACGGAGACAACGCAGGCAAGTTTGGCCGTACGTTGAAGTCAGCGATGTTTTGAATTGAATTGAGCTGAAGTGAGCTACGTCAGTGCCGTTTAAATCAGTCATGTTTGCGATTGCGGTTGCTATTTAAATCTGTGCCGTTGAAATCGGTGATGTCAGTCCAGTTTCAGTCAACGGTATTCATGATGAGTGAGTTAAGTCAGTGATGGTGGAGTTAAGTTGGTCGTGTTTTCAATAGTGACTTGAATCGCTGATGTTTTGGTGAGTGACTTCAATGAGTTTTATGTTGTGCGTGAAATAAATTCAGGTTTCTCTGTGTGACTGACATCTGTGACGTTATGATTTTTGAGTCAAACCGGTGATGAGATGGAATAAAGTCAGCAGTATTTTGGTTCGTGACTTGAGTCGCTGACGTTTTGATGAGAGACTGAAATGAGTTTTGTTTTGATTTGTTATGCTACGGTTGAGTTGCATTAACATTTCCTTTTGTGATTTACATCAGTGATGTTTTCAGTTTTGAGCCAAATCAGTAACGTTCTGATGAAGTCAAGCTGGTCATATTTTCATTGACTTAAATCCCGCATAATTTGGTGAGTGACGCTAATCAAATATGATTATGTTAAGTTCATGTTTTGATGTGCGACTCGATTTAGTGATGTTCTGATGCCGTAAAGTCAGAAATAGTTTGGCCGGTGACTTAAATTGGTGAAGTTTTGACGACTGACTTCAATGAGTATTGCTTTGGTTGGTGACTTAAATCAGTTATGTTGATGTGATGCTTTGCCGAGTGACTTAAATTGCTGATATTGTGATTATCGACCTAAATGAGTAATGTTTTGATGAGTGAGTCATATCAGTGATGTTTGGATGGAATCATTTCAATAATGTTTCAATGAGTGACTTAATTCAGTTATGGTTGGGTTAAATGTTTCAGTTAGTGACTTAAATTGTTGCTTTGTTGAGCGAGTTAAATGTGATGATATATATATATATATATATATATATATATATATATATATATATATACACATATATATATTTTTTTTTTGACAAATAAGTTGAGTCAATATCATATTTTGGTGAGCGATTCAAATCAGTTGTGTTTGGCTTATGGACCTAAGTGATGTTTTGAAGAAAAAGCTAGATCATTTATGTTGATTGCGTTAGATCCATGATGGTCTGATTAAGTAAATTTAATCTGTCATGTTTTGATGAGTTCAATCCGATGTTCTAATTCGTAGGTTAAATCGGTGACGCAGGAGTTTAGATGGGTGTGTAAAAGCAGTGATCTCCTGATTGGTGCCTTAAATCAGTGATGTTTTGACGACTGACTTAAACTCGTGAGATTTTAGTGCAGCTTAATGCTGTATGGAAAAGCCCACCTCCCTGGGGATGCTGAGTGCAGCAGGCAGGCAGACAGCCCGTCCATTTAGACAAATGAAAAGGTTGGGATGATGATGAAGAGGAGGATGAAGAGGAGGATGAGGAGCGTCTTAGCCACCTCGGCCATGTGAATGAAAGCAAACGATTGCAGATTATTGTTGACGAAATGCCTTTTGAGTCAACCACAGTCTGATGCTATCGCTAAATCGAGTGTAATTACTATACTCACCCCAGTGTGTTAGCGTCTAGCTTAGCCATCTTCTTGGTTGTTTCTGTGTACAAATTAGTTGACGCCACGAAAATTCCCCCCTCCAACCCTCCACCCCGCCCCCTCTCTCTGCTTCCTCTCTCTGTAGTGGCCTTCCTGCAGCCCCTTTTTGAAAGCGAAGGCATTGTTTTCCCACACCAAGACACTGAGAGCCATGGTAAGACTGCTTCTTTCTACCAATAACTAACCTTTACACACACACGCACACTCTGCATACCGAGACATGCCAATGTGCTTTCTTTTGTATCCATGACATCCATTTTTTAATCGTTTCCTTTCTCCACACCGCCAAGCTAGTGAGTCCTCATGACCTTTGAACTCATGCCAGCCATACCATCATTTGGGCTTGTTGTTTGTTTAATTTATTTGTCACACGCAAGTTGAGTCATTGGGCCCTATTTTGGTAGACTGGTCCCCATGCGCTTGGTGTAAAAATGGACGTAATTTAATTTTGGTGCCGGCGCAACTCAAGTCTATTGTGTTGACTGTGTTGCACCTCTTTGGGCGTTCCGGCCCATGGAGTTGCGTTGCCCTTGACTCATCTGACAATTTGGCGTAAAAACGGGTGTTTCATAATTTTCGTGCCCAGGCGGGTTTGTGAATATAGTAGAAGCGCTACGCCTTATTGGGCGTTCCTGCCACATCTCCCGGTGCATCTGCTCATTTTGTTCCTAAAAGTAGGGTCGATTTTAGACTCGCAGGTCTAACTTGTGTCACAAGTGGGGTAAAGCTATTTTGGACAAATTCGGTGCTCTGCCGATGTGGGTGGTGGACATTGTAACATTTCATTCATAAATATGACACCAGCGGGGCACAATCCCTCTGGGTCATTGTTGAAATCAATTCATTGAATGAATTATAATCATTATCACCTCAAAAATATCTTCTAAAAAAATTAACTGATCAAAATAAACAAACAAATAAATAAATAGCAAATAACCAAAATCAGCGGATTAATTGTTCAGGCCTTCTCAGGCAGGTGTGCTAAAACAACAACAATGCTGTAAGTGAGTGGATGGGAATCAACAAAACTTCAACTAAACATGAACATTCATTTTATAGATTCAAGGGGCTGAAATAGTAAAAAGGCGTGGTCAGCTTTTATGAAAAGCATAAAAGCCTACAACCTCTGCGTAAAGACTCAAGGTGAAAGCAAGAGTCATATTTAGTCGCTGTACACGTGTATGCGGGTTCATATACGTGTGTGTGTGTGTGTGTGTGTGTGTGTGTGT